GCCCAAAATTGAAACACAAAAAAAAGACATGGTCCAACCCAATTACCCTTGGCCCATTCTTCCCAATCCATTATCCCATTAAAGTGCAAGATTTAATTCTAGCCTTCTATTTCCTTCTAATCCAATGGCCATCATCATTTCCCACTTCCATATAAAATACCTAATTATAGAAACCCTACCCTAAGTTTTCAATTCCAAAAATCTAGCTAACACACAAAGATGGCAGCCTTACGATTCTGATTCAACACTTTAAAAAATGTTGAATTATCTTAAATGGGTTAACTAAAGTTCAACTGTTCCTGCATCGGTTGAGCAACATATTGGTCATCGTGAGCTTACAATCCAAGCAGTTAAGAGAGGAATTCCGTTTCTTCTGTCATTTGTTGGAATATACGGAAAGGGATAAGAAATAGTAAATTAGTGTTGAAAGTAAAATTGAGCTTGAAATCAATTTGCAAAAGAACCAGAAAAGACAAAGGGAGTGCCACCACTTGACGTGTCGGAATTGTTAGCATATTTTGTTACACACACCCATTTTGATCTGTTATGCAAATAATTGTGTCTATCAACCTCAAATCGGCTTATCAGTAGATGTGATATATGTTTGAGCGGTCCGTTCGAGGTGCCGAGGTTGTTGGGCAAAAATGTTCCGGTTAAAAGTTGTCTAATTTCCGGGTTGGTTGTAACTTAAGCTCAAATTCAATACAAAGGTTCGATATTTTAACTCCTCCGTCTATTTCTTTTTCATCAACTATAGTGCTTTAGTGGTGAATAATGTCTGCATGCTGAATATAATTTTATCCTATGGTAGAAAAGAGTTATAATAAATTTTTAGAAATGACAACCACTCGCCATAAGAAGCATGCTTGGAGAATGTCATGGTGATAGTTGCTGTTTCGTTTTCTCTTTTCTTTGCTTACATGTTTCGATTTCAATTTTGCATTGCTATGTAGTTAGTTAGTTTCAATACTTCAGATTTTTGATTGGGTGTAAACATTTTTAGTCCTATGCAATTTAGGACAAAAAACAATTTTTTTAATCATTTGTTGATATTGGTTACATTTTATAGTTGAAAACATCTATATTATATTATTATAACTGTAGTGGATCATGAGCAGACTTATACTGATTTGTTGTAGACGGTTGAGAGAATTAGTCGTTGTCTACTTTATTATTAATAATTCGAGGATAAATAAATCATCGAGACTATGGGTACGGATCCCGTGGCATGGTCACGATACGTAATTCCCAAACTCGGGTGCGCATTTATATGACCAAAATCCAAATCTCAACAACGTTAAAATATGTCAAAGACCACGAGTGCATTTATGTGACGTGGTTCAAGACATGTTTTAATAACGTTGCAATCTTCCTAAAAATGAATAAAAACGGTTAAGGTTGAAAATGCACATAGGTTTGAACATGTACTAAAATCAGATAATTAAGCCGAATATAACAGTTGAGCGACCGTGCTAGAACCACGGAACTCGGGAGTGCCTAACACCTTCTCCCAGGTTAACAGAGTTTCTTACCCGGATTTCTGGTTTGCGGACTGTTAAACAGAGTCAATCTTTTCTTCGATTCGGGATTGGAACCGGTGACTTGGGACACCATAAATCTCTCAAGTGGCGACTCTGAATCTTTTAATAATAAATTCCGTTTCGATTGTCACTTAAATTGGAAAAACTCTATTATATACCCCTTTACGGGGGTGTAGTGAAAAAAGAGGTGTGACAATGACCTACGATAATTATATCGTTGCGATTCACAGTTATATAATAGCCGTTTATGTTAATTTCATTCATTAAGTTCATACTTATCGGCCAATGGCAACCACAAGTCCACCGACTAAGGTTGTAGTCATATGACCTATGATAATTATATCGTTGCAATTCACAGTCATATAATAGTCGTTTATGTTAATTTCACTCATTAAGTTCATACGTATCGGCCAATGGCAACCATATAAGTCCACCGACTAAGGTTGTATTCATATGACCTACGATAATTACATCGTGCGATTCACAGTTATATAATAGCCGTTTATGTTAATTTCATTCATTAAGTTCATACGTATCGGCCAATGGCAACCATATAAGTCCACCGACTAAGGTTGTAGTCATATGACCTACGATAATTATATCGTTGCGATTCACAGTTTTTTAATAGTTCTTTTGGTGAAATAAAGAATTTTTATTTAATCACCAGCACAAAACATTACAAGTATATCCTCACAAAAACATTACAAGTATATCCCAATCTATCCACACCCCTTGCTGAGTATATTCTAACTATTCCTATCTCTTTTCTGTTAAGTAACTATTCCTAATGAGCCCTTCTATTTACAGCAACTGTTCTATCCATATTCTTTGTCTTACTTCTATCCTTCTCCGACCCAGGATGTCATGAATTTTGTCTCTGCATTCCTCCTTTATTGCTTTCACTATCATGTGAGGTCTATCAACCTTTTGATTCCATAGAGCATCATCTCTCACCCTCCATGTCTAATATTAAGCTAAATTTATCGAATGCATTAAGCAGTCTAGTAACAAATACACAACAAATGTCACGACCCCAAATACCAGTCGTGATGGCACCTATCACATTACTAGGCAAGCCAACTAATCAATAACCACAACCTTCTTTCTAATAACATTAAGCCATTTTTCTGACGCAAGTTTTAGATACCAAATTCATTATAAGCATTACGACAACAAAGTTATACGGAAAGTCAAAATAACAATAAACTACACAGCCCCAACAATCTGGTGTCACGAGTCTAGAGCCTCTAATACACGTCTGAATACCTATGACATCAATAGTCTAGGAAATGCGGAAAAAATAATAATAAGATAGGAGGGAGAGAACAGGACTGCGGACGCCATGCAGCTACCACGAAGTCTTCGTCAAATACTGAAACAGTTGGAAGCCCTCACTCGGCCGCTCGGGCACCTGGATCTGCACACAAGGTGCAGAGAGTAACGTGAGTACGCCAACTCAGTAAATAACTAGAGTAAATAAGGACTGAAAGCAGTGACGAGCAGTTTAAAAATACATAACTGGATAATCAACAGAATATCAGGTCATCTTTACAATTTAAAATCAGTTTTTGTTATAAAATCATATTTCCAGTTTAAACATTTGGAATCAATTACTTGGCGGTATATCAAATAGAAGCTTATTTAAAAGAAGAGTGAAATCAGTGAAAACATCATAACAAGGCCTCTCAGGCAAGGAATCACTTAGATTATGGCCCCTCGGGCAGCCTCTCAGTCACTCATGACTCGACTCTCGTCACACAGTACTCACTCTCAGCACGCGGCTCATTAGTATCTCATAATAATAAAAATCATAGTAATCGCTGTGGCGTGCAGCCTAATCTGTAATTTATAGTCGACTACGCTCACTGGGGGTGTACAGACTCCGGAAGGCTCCTACAGTCCAAGTGTCATATCGCTGCGGCGCGCAACCCGATCCAATATATATATATATCGCTGCAGCTTGCAGCCTGATCCATATGAGTATCGCTGCGGCGTGCGACCCGATCCATAACTCACATATATACAATTAGGTTCTCCACCTCTCTCAGTCATTAACCTCACAGCCTTACGGGCACAACAATAGAATCTAGGGAACTCAGCCCAAACAGTCCTCACAATTAGGAGTAGAGTGATAAAATCAGTTTTAATCATTTAAACAGGTAAAACAAGATTGAAGATATACTTCTAGCAAGTAAAACGAGGAAAAATAGTCAAAATGCCCCTAAGGGTTTCTACAGGTCGGCACAAGGCCCCAAACATGGTATACAACCCATAATACGGTATAAATGACTGAAATATAGAATGATATAAGATGTTCAAATCAATTACGTGGCTTAATAGTCGCTACGAGACGAACTAAGTCACAATCTCTACCGGTGCACGCCCACACGCTCGTCACCTAGCATGTGCGTCACCACATTAATCAAAACAAGTCAAATACCGGGGTTTTGTACCCTCAGTTCCAGATTTACAATGGTTACTTACCTCAAACAGGTGAAATACTACTCTGCGACGCCTTTGCCCCTCGAATCGGCCTCCACATGCGTCAAATCTATCCAAAGTCAGAATGAGGACGTCAAAATATGCCAAGGGAACGAAGCCCAAGCGAAAACAGTCGAAAAATATCAAAACTCGACCCCCGGGCTCACGTCTCAAAATTTAGAAATTTTTACATCAATAAATTTCTCGTCTCCCCACAAATCTATGCATATCAAGAACACTAAAATCGGAGTCCAAATGACCCCTCAAATCCTCCTTCAAAGGTCTCTTAAACTTAAGCCATAATCCTCTATTTTTAGCCCTTTAATTCCTTTAATTATAGCCTTAATCCATGAAATACTACCATAGAAATGTGTTTTAGATCCAAAATCCTTACCTTAACGAAGTCATCCTAGATTTCTCTCTTCAAAATCACCCAAAGCTCCCAAATCCGTGTTTAAAAATGGTGAAACCCTTCAAAAAATCGCGAAGGAAGACATATATACATTCTACCCAGGGATACCCGCATTTGCGGTCAAAAACCCGCTTCTGCGGTACCGCATTTGCGGCCCCTCATCCGCTTCTGCAGAATTCACTTAACCGGCCTAGATCTACATCTGCGATCGGCCTTCTGCACCTGCGGCTTCACAGATGTGACCCCTCAACCGCATCTGCGGTTCCTGACAAACTCTTCCAAAACCGCTTCTGCGGCTCATCTTCCGCACGTGCGGCACCGCAGAAGCCTAGGATTTGAGGTTCGTAGCTAATTTAGGCTTGAAATGTCGAAAGTTGAATTTTGGAAGTTTCCGGTTTAATAGTGAGATTTTGATCCGAGGGTCGGAATGGAATTCTGAGAGTTGCAGTAGTTTTGGTTGGGTTTTTGATCGAAAGCGGAATTCGGAAGATTTTAGAAATTTAGGCTTGAATCCGATGTGTTTTGGTTGTTTTGATGTTTTTTTTTTTTTGGAAAAAACATGCACTTCAGATATTATTCATATCAGAAGTTATTACATCATGAATCAAAGATAGGGGATGCACAATCCATTCCATCGCATCAGACATGGAACTCGCGGCCCTTGCTAACATATGGGCACGCTGCTTTGCTGACCTTTTAACAAAGTACAAAGAAATAGATGTAAAGTCGCGCATGAGCTCTTTACAATCTTGTACAATAATATCAAAATAAGAGTTGCCACTATCGGATCTTTCCAGAGCTTGCTTTGCCAAAAGACAATCCATCTCAATAGTAATAGGGGATCTGTGATGCTGCATTTTCAACCAGCTCAAGGCTTCACGAACGGTTAGAATTTCAGCTATTACTGCATCATGTGAAGCTCCCAATAAAGTGCTAAAACCTCGAACAAAATTTCCATGAGTGTCTCGAATCAACATACCAGCCCATGCCCTTCCAGAGTTAACTTCATAGAAAGCGTCAATGTTGCATTTCAGCGTACCCGGATCAGGGGGAAACCACTTAACAACAAATTCTGGCCTAGCCACAGAATAAATATTATTATCAGATCGCGTTGAAGTCCACTCTTTCCAGAAACGACTGGCTCTAAGAATGATAGTCTCTGGCCGCATAGTTTTGCCATTCCACACCAAATTGTTGCGGGCATTCCAGATCTCCCATAGGAGCATTATAGCCTCCTGCAGTTTTTCCTTTGTGACAGCTGCTACTAGTGCCGTGAACCATTCCATGAACGAGGCTCCCACTGGCCGCCACCCCATAGAAGATTTAAGCCATACTAGTTTTGCCGCAGTGCACATAACTAAACAATGCATGATAGATTCGGCATATTGAAGGCATGCTGGACAAATATTACTTTGGAGAACCTTTTTAGAGAATAAATTTTCACCAGTAGGTAAAACTCCTTTCAATGCCCGCCAAGCAAAATTTAAGACCTTTGCTGGCATTTTTAAGGTCCTGAGTTTCTTCCAAGTGTTACCATCCGAACTCTGAAGATTATGATTTTGTACCACCAAGTAGCCACTCTTAACAGTGTAGTTTCCTTTTCTATCTAACTTCCACATCCAAGTATCATCACAGAGATTGAATACCAAAGGAATGTGTTTGATACAATTTATCTCCTCAGCAGAAAAGACAGTTTCCAAGAGCTGCAAATTCCATGTTTTTATAGCTTCATCTATCAAGTCTGCCACACAAAGATTCATGTTCTCATCATCTGGGATACTTTGTATAAACATGGATTGCCCCGTTGGTAGCCATGGATCATGGTAGACCCGTGTATCAAGCCCATTTCCAATCCTTTTCACACACCCCTTTTGAAGGAGATATTTTGCCGCACAGAGAGAACGCCAGATAAAGCTAGGATTTGATCCCTCGCTCGCACTAAGAAAGTTACAGTTGCGAAAATATTTAACCTTGAGGACGCGGCTTACAAGAGCACATGGTCTTGTCAAAATTGTCCAGCCAGTTTTGGCCAACAACGCCGTATTGGTATGTTGAAGTCTCCGAAATCCCATACCACCCTCTCTTTTCTGTTTACTAAGGCGTTCCCATGAAATTCATTTAATTCCAGACCCCTCACTACCTCCATTGCGCCACCAAAATTCATTCATAGCGCATTCAATAGTAAGGCATGTATCAATGGGCAATGCAAAAAGAGACATTAGATAGTTCGGAATTGCTTGTACAACTGTTTTCAGTAAAATCTCCTTTCCTGCTCTTGACAGTATTGCTCGTTTCCAACTTTGAAGTTTTGAACGCACTTTATCCACAATATAATTGAAGACCTCTTTCTTACTACGACCCACAATAGCTGGAAGCCCAAGATATTGCCCAGGTTGATCAACTGTCCTTACATTAAGAATAGATGCAACTGAATTATTTTGTGCATCATTAGTGTTTCCACTAAACGAGATCTCTGATTTATGGAGATTAACACTGGCCTGATGCTTGCTGATACAGCATAAGGCGATTCTTAATAGTACTTGCTTCATTGTCCACTGCCTTGAAGAAAAATAGTGCATCATCCGCAAAGAAAAGATGAGAAACGGGAGGAGCATGCGGCGTAATCTTCACACCATGCAAAGTTCCACTTTGTACATAACACCTCAAAAGTGCTGAGAGACCTTCTGCCACAATAATAAATAAGTAAGGTGACAACGGATCGCCTTGACGAAGGCCTCGTGATGGAATGATATTACCAAAATCTCTGCCCGCATGAGATATTCGGTATGACACGGTGCTAACCATTCTCATAACCTTCAAAACCCAATCGAAAGAAAACCCAAGCTTGAGCATAATATTTTTCAAATAGTTCCATTCCACTCTATCATAGGCTTTGCTCATGTCCGTTTTTAATGCAGCAAAACCTGTCTTCCTTGTGTTTTCCGTTTCAATTAGTGATTTATCTCAAAAGAAATCATGGCATTGTCAAGAATAAACCTGCCAGGAATAAAAGCGCTTTGAGCCTCAGAGATAATATCATTTAAACAATGCTTTATTCGATTTGCCATCATTTTACAAGTAATGCGATCAATGACATTACACAAAGATATAGGTCTCAGATCAGAAATTGCTTCAGGCTTCTTCTTCTTTGGAATTAAGACTATCTTTGTGTTATTATGACCGGGTATGTCACCATTATCATTAACGCACCGTAAAATCATTGCGGAGACATCCTTACCCACTACTGACCAAAAGCTGCGATAAAACCCCTGATTAAGTCCATCTAGTCCTGGAGCTTTTTTTGGGTGCATAGAGAAAATTGCATTTTTTACCTCATCAGCAGTAAAAGCCCGATTTAAGGACAGATTATGGGATGTTGTAACCTTACTCTCAACAAAATCAAGAACTGTATGCATGTCACATTGTTTAGAGGTGAATAAAGCATCAAAAAAACTTGTGATCACATCTTGTAAACCATTATCCCATCCACACCATTGTCCCGAATTATCTTTCAGTTGTGTGAAAGTATTTTTCTTTCGTCGATTTGAGGCCATAACATGAAATAATTTTGTGTTGCTCTCACCCTCTCTCAACCAGTGTTGTTTAGCTCTCTGTTTCCAGTACATATTTTTTTGTTCAAGGGCCTGCAAATATGCTGCTTTAGCTGCATCAAACAGTTGCATATGATACGGGTGTGCACTATTTTTATATTTTGTCATCTGAGCCTTGGCTTGTTTCAACTTGACGTTAAATTGTTGTCTTTTGTTCTTTTCCCATTCTAGGAGATAAGCACCACAACTCTTTATCATCTCGTCTATAGGCAGGCCTTCTCCTTGTTCCCACGCTGTTTGGACTACTTGCTTAATATCTATCTCTTTCATCCAAGAGTTCTCAAACCGAAAAGGTTTTGCGGCATAGCAAATAACTTTCATACCTAGATTTAAAAAGATTGCCGCATGATCTAAAGAAGCTGATTCAATGTGAAACACTTTGGCTTCTGGAAAATAATTTTTCCAAGCTCTTGTCGCCATAGCACGATCCAGTCTCTCTCGAACCTAGTTTCGGGTATTTCTACATCGTTCCCAAGTGAAGCGATTTCCAGAGTAATCCAGATCGAAAAAGTTACAAAAATGTATCGCTTCCCTGAAACCATTTATTCTCCATTCTGGTTGCTGAATTCGACCCAGTTTATCCCCGTAATCAAGTATATCATTAAAATCACCACCAATACACCATGGGAGATCTGATTTGTCTTTTAGTGATTTTAATAAATTCCATGATGCAAGCCTTTGATGTGTTCCTGGATAACCATAGAATCCTGTAAACCGAAACGTAGGAACACCTGGTACATGTACTTCTACATCATTATCATGTCCCATCCACAATGCTCAAAGCACTCGACTCATCGAATTTTCTCTTTTTATCAAAAGAAACTAAGGCATTTGTTATCATATCTGTTACTATATTCTCGTTCTCATCCTCATCCTTCTCTACCCAATCATTATCGTCATCCTCTCCCCCAGTTAATATCATCTGCTTCTTTGGTTTACTATTTCTGTTCTCCTCGCTCCCTTTATGATTATTCTTTCTTCCCTGATATTCTGGAAAATTTTCGTTTCTCACCCCCTCATAGCTTGCATTTCCTTTCCCATGCTGCTCATTCCCCAAATCACCAAGATTTTCTTTTCTAGTTCGCGGTGGTGGGTTATTATCATTACACTGGATATTCGCCCTACCATGCGTACCTTTCATCTTTGAGAACCCGTGTCTCTCTGCCCAATCCTCTGTTCGCAACCATCTGGACCCCCCATACTCGATGAACGACGTTCTGACCGTAAATAGGTATCATATTGAAAATGTGACTTATCTACTCCCCAGGTTTGAAAGAGCTTTTGACAGAATTTATCAGTATGGCCTAATATACCACAGTAGAAGCAGAAGGTTCCCAGCCGCTCATATGTAAATGTCACCTGAATACATGTTCCTCCTGGCCGTCGAATGTTCATGTTCTTCCTTAGCGGGCTACGGACATCAATACTAATCCTAACCCGCATATACTCTCACCAAATTGAATCATGATTTTTTGAGTCAGCCAATACAAAGATTCCAATGGCATTCCCAATGTCCCGAACAACCTTCTCCGATCTCAGGCCACCAACTAACCCATGTATTTGCACCCAAATATTTAGCTGTGTCAATTCAACTTGTCTCGGGTTTTGTCCTGGTAAGAGTGGCCGCATGACAATAGGGCTCTGCATAAAATTCCATGGAACATCAGTCAGGACTCGCTCATAATCCAATTCATCAAAGAATTGAAAAGCAAAAACATTGTTCCCCAGTTCTTTTAGAACCATCCCTTCCATTGGTCGTATAGCGTTTCCCATCGCGTCTTGAAAAGATCGAAGCACAACATTCCTATCAGTAAGTACCCGAGTGATGACGTAGAATTGTGGATTGCCTTCATGATTTTCGTGTGCAGCAACTTCTTCATCGTCAACATAATCCAGTTCGACCGGCGTATCATTTATATTCAAACCTGCGCATCTTTCTTCCAGAGGCGTATTGTCACTGTTGGGTCGAGGAGCAGAATTCATTTGCGTGTATTACTAGATATGATAAAGTGAAAATTAGGGCTAGGATAAGGAAAGATTAGGGCTGTGTTCAACAAGAGGTCTGGCTCTCAGATGGAGAGAGTTTATAATTACTGATGGCTTAAATATGGAGGATTTCCATAGTAAGGTCGGAATCAGAGAGAGATTGGGACATGACGGCTAGCGTTTCCATGTTGTTTAAAGTGTTTTGAAGATTTCTATGTTGTTTGAATTGTTTTGAAGATTTGTACAAGTTTGAATAAGGTGTTAGGATATGTTGATGCCTTTGGTTGAGGTCAGAGGGGCCTCAGGATGAATTCGGATGGTTAACGAAGGAAATTTTGGAGTTGAAGTTGCTGCAGCAGCTGTTCTTCTAGTATTTTCGCATCTACGGTTTAGGGACCACAGATGCGGAGCCGCAAAAGTGGCAAAGAGGACCACAGAAGCGAAACTGGGAATCTCCTCAGGAACCGCAGATGCAGTGAATTGTCCGTAGAAGCGGAACCGCTCTTGCGGTTAGAGTTCCGTAGTTGCAAAAACTGGGTCCTTAAGTGAAAGTCGTAGATGCAACACTTGTTCCGTAGAAACGGGACCGCAGATACAGTCCCAGGGTCGCAAATGCGGAAATCGCTGGGCAAAACATATAAATAGTTGTCTTCGCGAATTTGAGGGATTCTTTCACCATTTTCATCCGGGTTTGAAGCTTTTGAGAGAGATTTTTAAGGAAAACAAAGGGGAATCATTTTTAGGTAACGTCTTTTCTTTGTAACTCGTTTTTTATGTGATTAAAGACCTAATTAGTGGTGAGAAATTTGGGAAAAATGGGTAATTAGGGCTTGTGTTTAAGAGGTCTTTAAATAAGGATTTGAGGGGCCATTTGGACTCCGATTTCAGTGTTCTTGTCATGTATAGACTCGTGAGAGTACGAGATTTCTAAAAATATAAATTTTACCCGATTCCGAGGCGTGGACCAGAGGGGCATTTTGGTCATTTTACATAATTTCTCGTATTATCTTAGAATTTAATTGTAAAATCAGTTACTTGAAGTGCTATTTACATTATGCAATTGAATTGAATATATTTGAGCCATTTGGAGTCGTGTACTTATGGCAAAGACGTGGTGTTAGGTTGATTTTGAGCCGGTTCGAGGTAAGTGGCTTGTCTAACCTTGTGTGGGGGACCTTCCCCTTATGATTGGTATATTTGGTAATTGAAATGTCTTGTACGTGAGGTGACGAGTGTGTACTTGTGCTAATTGTTGGAAATCTGGTTTTCTTTAAGTAATTACTAGTATTTTTTCTTTCCTATTTTTATTTCTTGCACTATTAAGCTTGTTGTTAGCTTAGGAAAGCATGTCTAAGTGACTTAATTGCTTTATTTTATTCAACCTGCCTTACTTGAATTCTGTGCAGCATACTAGGCTAGAATCACTTATTGCCTTAATATGAAATTCTGCCATTACTGTATATCTTCCTGCTACT